AAGGGGAATAATGTCTTGTATAAACAGGCTAAATACACACTGGAAAAGGAGATTGGAGTGGCAAAGAGGAATTATTCTGAAAAAACAAGGACTCCGTTCACTTCCAGCAACTCGGCATCAGTGTGGAAAAGTCTAAAAGAAATCACCAATTACAAGACACCATCCCCCAGCACTGTGGAGAATCAACACCTGGCAGATGATCTGATCACTGTTATCACTATCATCACTATCACTACCATCACTATCATCCCTGTCATCACTATCGTCACTATCATCACTGTCATCACTATCGTCACTACCATCACTATAATCGCTACCATCACTATTGCCACAACCATCACTATCGTCACTATCATCACTATCACTACCATCATTATCATCCCTGTCATCACTATCGTCACTGTTATGACTATCATCATCATCACTGTCATCACTATCGTCACTACAATCACTACCATCACTATAATCGCTACCATCACTATCGCCACAACCATCACTATCATCACTACCATTATTATCATCACTACCATCACTGTCATCACTGTCATCACTACCATCGCTATTATCACTATAATTGCTACCCTCATTATCATCACTATAATTGCTGCCATCACTATAAACACTACCATCACTGTCATCATTATAATCGCTACCATTATTATCATCATTATAATCGCTACCATCACTATAATCGCCACCATCATCATCACTACCCTCTCTATCATCATTATAATCGCTACCATCACTATCATCATTATAATGGCCACCGTCACTATCATCGCTGCCCTCACAATCATCATTATAATCGCTACCAATACTATCATCATTATAATCACTACCATCACTATCATCACTACCATCACTATCATCATTATAGACACTACCATCACTATCATCATTATAATCGCTACCATCACTATCATCATTATAAACACTACCATCACTATCATCACTACCATCACTATCATCATTATAGATGCTACCATCACTATCATCATTATAAACGCTACCATCACTATCATCACTATCATCATTATAAACACTACCATCACTATCATCACTACCATCACTATCATAATTATAAACGCTACCATCACTATCATCACTACCATCACTATCATCATTATAAACGCTACCATCACTATCATCATTATAAACACTACCATCATTATAATTGCTACCATCACTATCATCATTATAAACGCTATCATCACTACCATCACTATCATCATTATAATTGCTACCATCACTATCATCATTATAAACGCTACCATCACTATCATCACTACCATCACTATCATCATTATAAACGCTACCATCACTATCATCACTACCATCACTATCATCACTACCATCACAATCATCATTATAATCGCTATCATCATTATAAACGCTACCATCACTATCATCACTACCATCACTATCATCATTATAAACGCTACCATCGCTATCATCACTACCATCACTATCATCATTATAATCGCTACCATCACTATCATCATTATAATCGCTATCATCACTACCATCATTATCATCATTATAATGGCCACCGTCACTATCATCGCTACCCTCACAATCATCATTATAATTGCTACCATCACTATCATCATTATCATCATTATAATTGCTACCATCACTACCATCATTATAATTGCTACCATCACTACCATTATAATCGCTACCATCACTACCATCATTATAATCGCTACCATCACTACCATCATTATAATCGCTACTATCATTATCATCATTATAAACACTACCATCACTACCATCATTATAATTGCTACCATCACTACCATTATAATCGCTACCATCACTACCATCATTATAATCGCTACCATAACTATCATCACTATCATCATTATAATCGCTACCATAACTATCATCTTTACATCACTAATGTCACTGTCATCACTATCTCACTATCGTCACTGCCTGACGTATCATCACTATCATCATTACCGTTTTCTAGGTATACTCAGCACTAAAATATTTTATCAGCACATTGCACTTATATTCGAAGTAGTGAATTAGCAAAAATTGAAAATCTGGGAATGGAATCAACCTGTTTGTATTGTTTGTTCATGAAGAGAGCAGTGAGTGTAGTGTGTACTACGGTTAAGCGTAGTATGCTAATATGTGCTGAATCTGATTAACACACGACACTCGTATGAATATATTCATCTGGGCCAGTGTTCTCCTCTTTATAATGCTGATGTGGCATCTCATTAGGATACAGATACGAGGCCGGCTGCCATAATTAACAGGCATTAATGTTGCATGAGTCTCTGTAAGTCCAGGACAAGAGCGACCCGTCTATTCAGCTCAAGAGTCTTTATTAATTACACTGATAATTCCCCTCGCGTAAACCCGTTCTCCGTTTGTTCTGCATCCGTATCTCCATGACAAAGAGCCGTGACCCCTTGAGCATGAGATGATGTTTCATATTCATCACTGATTCTCTGGATTGTGTTCTGAACATGTCTGTATTGTGATCGATCAACAGGCAAAGCAAAGAGATGAAGGGCAATCAGGCGAAGATGTCGATGGAGAACAGCAAAGCCATCAGCCAGGACAAGAGCATCAAAAACAAGGCGGAGCGCGAGAGGTGCGACATGACACACGGATGGCACAGTGTGATTAATAAATCGTCATTTGTCACAGTTTAATAGGTTCGGTGTGTTTGTGTTGCAGGAGAGTTCGGGAGCTGAACAGCAGCAACACCAAAAAGTTCCTGGAGGAGAGAAAAAGGGTTGGTTGATGGTCTTTAGTCTTAGCTGATGCTTACGGCTCCGTTCTGTGAAGAATGGTTTTTGTTCAAGAGGTTGATGCAGTATAATTGCATTTGTCACAAGATTATTTTGTATTCGAGTTGCTTTACAATTAATCTAAGGAGTGTAAACAATCCCAAAATCTAAAGACAGACTTTCTGCGGGTCTTAACTCTTTCCCCGCCAAAAAAGGAATTTTCCTGGTTTCTGTGTTCTCGCTGTTACGCATCTGAATGAGTCTAGAATCACTTGATCAAAAACACAGACGAGGAAGACACAGAAACCAGCGATCTCATATGTAAGCATATGCATATGAAAAATAATACGATCATCAACACTAAACTGTCTAATGTTCCCGAGTGAAATGTGGATCCAGAAAGAGGTAAAGGACTGTGAAGCTTTGGGGAGTACTGATGGAAGCCATCTAATGCATCTTTGCTTTGATAATATTACTGAATATGATCCAGATGTAGTATTTGATACAAATGCGATCTTCTCTGCTTTTTGCTCAAAATGTTGCTTTTTATGAAACCTACCTACATTCAAGTGTTGATAAAAAAAAAACAATGCTTGAAGCTAGAATAAAACAGATTTTTTTTGTTTGAAAGTAGATGGTCTGATCTTTATTTTGATGTATTGCATGTTCATACAACAAAATATTCAAATTCAATATAAAAAAAAAACATAAAATTTTAGTGAAAATCAGCAAAAACGCTGGTGGTGGCTGGCAACTTTTTTCAAAAACGCTGGCGGAGAAAGAGTAAGAATCCGTGTATCATTTGATTATTCGTTTTTTGATTTAATATTGAAAGTAGAAAAATTAGAAAACGGCTCCTTTTTTTTTCTTTTTTTACAAAAAACGAGAATTCAGTTTAAATTTTCGTTTTTCGTTCATGGGTGGAAAAATGAATAAACCGCTTGAATATTTGATTTCTACATGTGGGCGGGAATTAAACACCCCTTTCTGCTGATTGGTCAGCTGAAGATCAAACCGTGCCATCATCAGTTCTTCTGCAGTATCACGCAGCAGAATAATAGTCCTCCGCTGCTGCAGGTGTACGGCTTAATAACCCATTTTATAAATTTCATATTTCTCTCATCAAACAGACTAATGAATAGCTCGACACAACTCGTACCGGGGCAGAGTCTAGCCAGGGCTTTCTTCTGTGTAGACCAGCAGTTCTTAAAGTGATAGGGGGTCCGAGAAATAATTAGCTATAGCCTAAAGTATTTCCAGACTGTAAAGTCATGCTTTTTTTTAATTGTTAAAAAAAAAAGTTAACCCCAGACCTGTACGTCATCTTACGTTTCATACAGTTGACAAATATGATGCAGGGCAACTACTCCATAAATGCAGTTATGCCTTAAAATTCAAGATACTGGGGCAAAAATGCTCCTGTATGAGTTTTTGTCTCATATTTATATCAAATGACAAGCGATATCACACGAGTGCTGTTTGTCCAGAATATAACGAGTGCAAACGTGATTTTCTACAACAGTAAATAAGAAGTTAATATTGTGTAATATTTTAAACACAAAATTGTCTGTTTTTGCTCAGTTTTGCCAACAAAAATATTACCTTTAAAGCCAGAGCAGAGCTGTTCTGCGTCTCCGAGCAACACAGTGGTGTTTAGTTTCTGAATGAATCCGCGTTTTGAACGAATCGAGTGAATCAATGATTCAAAGCCCCATTCATAAAGTGAGCCGTTTACTTCATTCCTGAATGAATCAGCCGTTTGAACGAATCGAGTGAAAGACTCATAAAGACATTTACCACCACCTGCTGGCAGTTTTAGTTTCTTATTTAGAGTATTATTTCATTTTTTTAAAAAGGGGGGAAAAACTTTAAAGGGAAAGTTCACCCAAAATTTTTAATAATGTCATTTACAATTGCTATCTTTTGTGGAACATAAACGAAGGTATTTTGAAGACTGTTGGTAACAGAGCTGTTTTGGTCACCAGTGACCTTCACTGCATGAACGAAAAAATCTGAGATGTTTCTCAAATTATCTTCTTTTGCTTTCCGTAGTTTATGTTAGGCCGATGTAGTCTAAACGTTTATGTGTAATACATTTTATGTTGAATCAAATCAAATATTTCTTTCTAAAGCTACTATTTGTAATGTCTACTTAATACTTTCTCATTTAACACAAAAATAGTTTAAAATAATCTTTTGGAGGTATTTTCACAGCCAAATGTAATTTGCGATAATCGACACATAATTAATTAGATTACATTTTTTAATCGACTAACAGCCCTAATGTATATATATATGTAGAGAGAGAGATTAGTTGTGTGTGTATATATATATATATACTAATCATTAGTTGTTATTAACCTGTTCATAACACATTCAGTTGAACACCATTGTTCTGGCTGTTCAAACACTGCTGAGCATCAGATCCTTTATTAACAGAGAAGCAGAGCGTTTCCTGTGATACTGAGCTCATTGAGTCTGATGATTCCATTAATGAATATTTTAGTAGTTACACTGATTTAGTTTGATGTCGAACATGACGAAAGTAACGGCCTGTGGTTCAGCGAGTCAAAAACCGTTCAGAGAGTGAACGAATCATTAGATTGATTCAGTGAGTCATCAGATGATTCAGTTGCCTGTGGTCTTCCTGTCATGTGACACATACTCGCCTCCTCCTTCCTTCCACGACATCCATTGATTTGAGAGACGAGAGTTTTTATAAATTGGCTGAATAAAGAAACTAATATACTGGGGCTCGATAACGGCTAAACTATTAATCACTGTTATTTTGCTCAAAAAACACAATCACGATTTTGTCATTTTAATGTTTTCACACTCTCACATAAGCACAACTCGAGCAAACATCAACTGGCATGCTTTGTTCACAGATTTAGTCGCAGCAAGCAAAGCACAATTTTCACTGTGAAAGAGAACAGACTCTATTATCTGAGCAGAATATCTGGGAAGAGTTTGTTCAACTCCAGCTTACATGTGTGCCGTGTTTTCTGCTCCTCTGCGTGTTGTCTGTAATGCAGAGAGAGTGTGAGCATGGTTGCTTCATGTGCAAGATAAAGTAAAACTCTGGCAGAAAAGGTATCGATTTAAGAGAAAAGCTCTGGCAAGCACAACCATGAAAGCTCGTTACCCAATGCAAGATAGATTAAAATGAAATATTTTCAGGATAAATTACGAGCAGGCAAATATCGCAGACGATTATGCGTACTAAATCAAGAGAAGCAGAAATCATGATTACATGACGATTTATCGTACAGCCCTACAAGATGCTAAACTACTGTTTAATGTTTTTTCCCCTCTTCATTATGATCTTCATTACAACGTTTCACGAAAAAAAAGTATTTAGTACCTGAATACACCTCTTAACAATGTGTGGCCTGTGCTGGCAAAATGAGTCACAATGAGCACATTTTCAAAACTGTATATTTTCACATTCTCCATTAAAAGCCCTTCACAATGTTGTAATCAGACTAAAAACGACGGAGCTAAACCCGTTTGAAGCCGAAAGAGTCAGCAAAGCAAAATCACCGAGCAACACTGCATCTTCTCCTCTAGTTTTTTTTTCTTAATAATAATTACTATATTAATAATCACAATTATAGCAAATTTTTTTTATATCTTTGTTATTATAAATTAGAACAGATGCAAAAAAAAAAAACAGTAGAACAAATATAAAAACACTTCAATCACTTTAGTGTTTCCTTTACAAATAAATAGATGATTAAAACTACAAAAGCAGTTCAATCAAGTGCAGCGAGTGATTCCTTTTCTTTTATTGTTAGATTAATATTAATGGCAGTGATATACTCAGACGCCTAGATATATAGACCTACTGTAACGCACGGATCTAATATAATGTTACGCATCCGATGTTTTCAGCAAAAGTTCCAAAACGGTAACTTAAGACATAACAGATTATGTTTGCTTGAACTGAAATACTGTAATTCTGTGTATATTTATCATTTTCGCGCGCAGTCAGAAGTACTCCTCTCAGAAAACACACAAATAAAGATAATTGTCGATGTTTAATTACTATTTGGAGCATTGGGATCACTAGACGAGGGCTTAATGAACCCACTTTTGTGAAAACCTCGACATTTTTTTGCCTGTAGCTCAAAATCACACTCATTCTGCCAGCACAATATGAACAGCATTTGAAATCATTCATACGTAACTCTAAAGACGAGATCCTGTAACTCTGCTGTGATTCTCCAGGCCAAAGACATGCAGAAGATGGTGAAGCTGGAGGAGGACATGGACCGCAGACCAGCCACGGTGGTGTAAGCGCTCCACCCGTCAACTGAGACGAGAGCGAAGCGAACCGTCTTCATCTGTGCTTCATCTCGACTCCCGCTCCTGAACCCCTGCAGTCTGTAAACCCCGCCCATTCTCCCTACCTCAGCTCTAGCCCCGCCCACTGCGGTTAACTCCTCCTCTGCAGCGGCGTCCAGCCAATCCGGCTCTTACCGTAGCTCCGCCCACGCTGCTCAGACCAGCTCCTGAGGAGGCGGTGAACACACGATTTTATACACCATCATCATCTTCATCAGCAGTGCTGCAGCCGTTATGGGTCGACAACTCAAAAGTGTTCTTTGTGAACTTCTCAAGTCGTATCTTATCTGAGCTAGTTAACCGTAGCAGAGTCAGGCGAACGGACGAATCTGATTAGTTTGTCACACCATTGTTTTTCTCCCGTCCTGAGCACTTTCTATGTGATAGGATGTCAAGGATCTTTGACGATGTAGCAGAGCTCTAGCTTTCCTCAGTACACGACGAATGTAGACGCGTCTGGAAGCCAGATCACACCAGTGTCCCGAGCGTTTTTCATCTGTTCCTGTACGTGTTTTTAAGATCAGACGCACACCTCGTTTTACCCGAGTCTTGTTTTATTTGAGAGGTTTTATTCGGGCTGGTGATGGTGAATCGCTGGTTCTGTTCTCGTGAGAATCCTCCTCGCACGGATCGGGAAGGACGTGACTCATCGACGCAAACCATTTGCTTTCTCTGACACCAC